TACCACCTCACTCAATGTTTTGAGTTAATCCCCAATGATTGCGTGACTCGTCGGCTCCAGTCCGATCTTGCTAACCCTCCCCTTGGACCCGCACCCACTACGGGCACCTACCGGTTTCTGCACAAGGCTGGCCATGCACCTGCACTCTTGATCAAAAGTTTCGGGCAGTTTTCCTCATTTCCGCTAGAAAAACCATCAAGTTTTTCATTATCTGTAGATTGGTTTAATTGGCTCTTGAGAAGGGTCGCATCCATCGGTTTTCTTAGAATATGGGATCTATTAAACCTTAGCACCTTGTCATGGACTCCTGTACTCTGTGCGACAAGCATTGGTTGAGTTTTTTTTTTTTACTACGAGTTTTATTTTTTGTATTTATGGCAAAGCTACAAAGGCAGTCAGTCTGTCAGCATCCCTAATTTTAACCAGAGGGAAGACAGCCAGCCAGCAGCAACCTTACCACCCACTATCCAAGCTAAGGGATTATTAACTGTAACCCTCATAACGTACCCACAACTTTAAGTACGGGGAATATTTTGTGGTATCGCACGGGTTTATGATAAGTAAATCACACTCTGGAAACCGGCCCATTGTAACAACCTAGTTTTGTTGGTGTGAAAGTACAAGTTAGGCTAATACGTTCCTTCGATATACAGGTACAGTTCCAGGAAAAACCTTCACGTTGAAACAGGGAAATTTCTTTCTTTGTATTAAGATAGATTGACTGATATCAAGAAATACAGAGAGTAATTCATACAACACAGCTAGGCTTAGTTTTCTGTAGATATAACTTGCGTTGTCGTGGCGTTTTCTGACTTTTATTACTAAGTTGTTGTTGTTTTTTACAGCTTGTTCTTTGATACTTCGATCATAGTTGTAGCGCTTCCAATCCACGACCTTATAATAAACTTTAGAATTAAATATTATTGGAACAATCCGGTATGTAATTGTCTTTTTTCTTTTTTAACAGAAGCAGGTGAATGAATAATCTTTTTGAATACTCTCGAAGAGTACGCGTTAGAACTAAAATATATCTATATATAATAGAGACTTCTCATAAACCCCCTTTTTTTTTCGTGTTTCATAATATTACTGAACCTTTATATTTAAAATACGTTTCCTGACATAATTTCATTTGTGTTTTCAAGATCCCGGATAAGCGTTTTCACGCCGAACTTTTATATCAAACGTACTTGTTCAACTGTCATTTAATTTGTTTTCAAGGTCCTGTATAAAGAGTTTTGTCCATCTGTGGATCAGCGGTAAATTAAAGGATTTACAACGCTAAAATCCGGGGATCGATTCTCCGCGGTGGATTCAGCAGATACCTAATGGCTTTGTTCTAAAATAAATAAATAATTTTGCTTCTGTCTGAACCTTTAGACATAATTGTCCTGCCATAATTTAACCTGTATTTTTAAGATCTGGTACAGAGAGTTGCAGCATTATTATTAAGACTGGTTGTGTAAATACGTGTATTTTGACAATGTCCCCCCGGTGGAACAGCGGTAAGTCTACTACGGACTCACAACGCTAAAACCCGGGCTTCGATTCGCTGCGACATGACAGATGGCCCAATGTGGCTTTCACTAAAAAATCAAACACGTGCTTTGACAATTCACGCTGTCATTCTTTAATTATCTATATTTTTAATCAAATCATTTCCATTTGTCATATTTCTCGATGGTTTTTTTTCTGTCTGTAAGGTGTGATTTTACGGAACATAAGTTTTCCTTCTGTTCACACGAAGGTGTGTCAACTTTGTAGTGTTTTTCGTCAAAGTTAACAAGAACATATCTAATTGAGTATCTACTAACATGTTTACTGACAAACGTCTTATTTCTTCAGCTTCTATTCACTTTTGGGTTTGGTGGTGATTTATCAAAAGAAAAGTTTAAATATTAAGCAAAACACGCGGAGTTTGATTCAACCAGTTCCACGTTTCAGCGCTTGAACTGGTTTGTTAGTAAGCTCTTCTGATTTCCTGTTTCATTGTGTGGACTGGTTTGTTAGTAACTGTTTTGATTCCACGTTTCATTGTTTGGACTGGTTTGTTAGTAACTGTTATTATTCCATGTTTCAGCGCTTGGACTGGTCTGTTAGTAACTGTTTTGATTCCACGTTTCATTGTTTGGACTGGTTTGTTAGTAACTGTTATTATTCCACGTTTCAGCGCTTGGACTGGTCTGTTAGTAAGCTGTTATGGTTCCTTATTTCAGCACCTGGACTGGTTTGTTAGTAACTGTTTTGATTCCATGTTTCAGCGCTTGGACTGGTCTGTTAGTAAGCTGTTATGGTTCATCATTTCAGCGCTTGGACTGGTTTGTTGGTAACTTTTGATTCTATGTGTTATTGTTTGGACTGGTCTGTTAGTAAACTGTTATGGTTCCTTATTTCAGCACCTGGACTGGTTTGTTAGTAAGCTGTTATGGTTCCTTATTTCAGCACCTGGACTGGTTTGTTAGTAAGCTGTTATGATTCATCGTTTCAGCGCTTGAATTGGCTTGTTACTAAGCTGTTCTGATTCAATGTTTCAGCGATTGGACTGGTCTGTTAATAAATTGTTATGGTTCCTTATTTCAGCACCTGGACTGGTCTGTTAGTAAGTTGTTGTGGTTCCTCGTTTCACCGCTGGGACTGGTTTTTTAGTAAGCTGTTCTGATTCCACGTTCCAACGCTTGGACTGGTTTTTTTAGTACGTTGTTCTGAAGACCTAAATATTACATTTATCTGTGTAATAAGTATTTGTAGGATATGAACATGGTTAGTAGACCCAAGTTCCACTTTTAAATGATTACTAAGATTAATTATTGTTTATAAAAATACTTCCCACTATAACCGAATGCTATTACATAAACTAGTTAGTTGGTACAGTACATGTCAGCATATTTTTGTCACACTCTGTAATTCAACGTTTATCATGACTCAGACATGACTGATTGAGAATTTATTCTTGAAATTATGACCATATTTGTCTAAATACGATAATAAATGGCATTACCTGATTATTGTAGTGCAGAGGATCGCTGATCCTCTGCACTACAATAATCAGGTAATGCCACGTATGATCACATCCGTACCAAAGCTTTTGGTACGGATGTGATCTTACGTGGCATTACCTGATTATTGTAGTGCAGAGGATCAGCTTTGGTACGGATGTGATCATACGTGGCATTACCTGATTATTGTAGTGCAGAGGATCAGCTCTGGTACCGATGTGATCTTACGTGGTTTATTTGTTGTTTTTTTTAGGTGAGTGAATGGGGAAGGGGATTGACGTTCCTTCGTAGTTATTGAGGGATTTTAATTTTTATATTTCACTTCGTCGTCATTGTTTTATCTGGGGGTTCTTCTGAAAAAATATGATAATTTTCCGCGTGTTTCGGAATGTGTATAATTTCTATTAAACTAACTCTATCACATTTTAAAAACTAAATATAAAATTAAGCAACATTATGTTAGAAGTATATTAACACACTCTGCCAAGAGAGGCAGTGATTAGCTAGAAATTAACAATATTACACACATAACAGGCGCGTTTTTGAAAGCTCCAAGCTCTATTGTTGTTTTCTTATTTTCACGACACTGGCCGCTGGTGGGTAATAATCGATCGTCCCTTCTGATGCTTTCCACGCCAGTGGGGTGTTAAAATACGCTGTCTTATGGCAATCAGTATAGCCGTATTATAGGTAGCGGCATCGAGACAAGGGTTTAGGTGTTTAAGTGACTAAGTTCTGTTGTTAAATAGATATATCTTAAACAGGTTCATCTCTGACACTGACATAACAGCACGGTTATCACTTTCCCTGTGATACAGCTATAAGTTCTGTTGTTAAATAGATATATTTATGTCAATGTCAGAGATGAACCTGTTTAAGCACTTTCCCTGTGATACAGCTATAAGTTTAAATATACTCAAACTGTTTGTTTATTAATCTGTCTAGTCGATAATTCTGGAGCGGTTAAAAGCAGGGTCAGCAAACATGGCGGATAAATTTGTCTTCCTATGTTAAACTTCGTTGTTGTTAGCAGTATAAACAAAACAGTTGTTATGTTTATAAGTACATGTACAAAACTTAGTAACTGAGAACGAACTTACTGTGAAAGGCAGTTTTTCCTTCACTCAGGTTTGTTTGTTTATTGAATTTCGAGCAAACCTATCCGAAGGTTGTCTGTGCTAGCCGTCCCTAATTTAGAAGTGATAGATTAAAGGGAAGGCAGCTAATCAACACCACCCACCGCCAACTCTTGGGATGCTATTTACCAACAAATAGGGGAATTATTCGTCATATTATAACGTCCCCACGGCTGAAAGGGCGAGAATGTTCGGTGTTGTGGCGGATCGAACCCGTGACACGTACAGTTCGAGTCGAGCGCCCTAACCACCAGGCTCCTTTGGTCAAGCGATATCAAAATTTTCTTATAAACAAAATAGTTTTTATGTTAATGTTTGTACGTCAGAAACATGCTATTAGCAGGTTCAGTATATTCTATGAAACATATTTCTTATGTTTCAGTTTACAAGTAAGAAACATGTTGTTAATAGGGTTAGTATATTCTATAAAATATACTTATGTTTTACTTTGAAAGTCAGAAGCATGTTATTTAACTTAACCCAGTTCTGCTTTTAAGGCTTAAGCAACATTTGAAAACTGTTTAGAATGTTCGTATTTTTTGTATTCGTATCATTCTTTATTAAGGCTGTGTTCTACGTATTTCAGTTTCTATAGTACCAAACTCAACTAGTTACCAACAATCTGACTTAATACAATTGGAAGTTTATGAAATTAGTTGTGGTATTTCAAAGAAGTTGCTAATTAGTTATCAACGTGATTTTAGCGCATGATTTTCTCTTTGTTTACAAGTTAAAATACATTTCTGAAGTTACGTCTTTGTCGTATACATGTTTCGAAGGTAATGAATGGTCAAAAGTGTTGAACTAAACGGGTTTTTAACATTATCTAAAATTCGCTGTTGTTAACTGGACTTTTTGTGTCTTCCAGGTCAAAATATGGTTCCAAAACAGAAGATCCAAATATAAAAAAATGTTGAAAGCCCAGCAACAAGCGACCGGCCAGGGACCTCAACAACAACAAACCTCCCATAACCAGGCACAACATCCGCTCAATCCCGCCACCACACCGCAGACGCCATCGGAGCCGCCGGAGACACATAGCCCAGGTAGTGCCGGGCAACCTGGCCTGCTGCCTCCAAATAGCAACAGTCCGGCTGTCAGCAGCCTTGCAGCAGTCAGCCCGCCCGCCATGAGCCCTCCGATAAGCTCGTGGGACATGAACCCCGGCAAGCCCCCCATGAGCTTACCCAACGGCTACATGCCCCAGTATTGGTACCATCAACCGGAGCCTAGTATGAACCATCAAATTCTCACTTAAGATATGTGCTGTTAGTTCTCCCAGCACGTGCAGCCAGACCTTCCCTCTTCTAAGACCGTGAGTACGTGGCTTTCAGTATTCAAGCCGGAGACAAGCTGCCGGCCCAGCTAACGGGCCTTTTTGGATATGGGACCAGCATAATACCCAAAATTATTTGTTCGGTATAATAATAATATTCTCTGTACCTATATTTCGTCGTGTCGAAGTAAGTTTGACTTCCTGGTCCTCGGCTCCGGTCGCTACTCTCCTGGCTGTGTGGTTTTTGTACATGTACATTAGGGTTAAGTCCAACTGGAAACGTCTTGTGACCTCTGTACATAGCGTGTCTCTCTACGAAACAGCCCATGTTTATTTTATGAACTTGACTGTACCTAGCGGTCGTTTGTGTAAACTTATTCAATCTATTTTATTTATGGACAGGTATGTCATTGACTGAAATTAATAGACTGTTTTCTGGCCGTTAGGTCTGTTTGTATAGTAATGTAAGCCAAAGGGGCTGTTTGGTGAAAATTTCAGTGTCCTGGTGACTTAAAATTGAATTAAATCAAAGTCTGTCACAGAAAAACACATGTTTAAATTGCGTAATTCCAAAGCTTATAAATTTAATGGATAAAATGAATGTAACGATACCGCCAGATAGTCTTAGTTCAACCATCATTGTACTCACCATTTTTACTGTGATTAGTCTATGTACAACCATCCTGCCACCTTTCTAATTCTAAGCAGCTCTAAAATACGATCTTTGTTCACCTAAAATTTCATCCACAAAAACGTCATTTTGAAATGTTTGACATTTGTGTATATTTTACAGGCCTCATCAATAAATATTGTTTCACATAAATCATTCGGTGCTTCTTTGTACATATTTATTGTTTTATTTCAATAACTTACAATTTGTATCGTCGCAAGAAGTAATCGGATGCTTTCTTTTGCAAGTTTCTTTACTATTATGAAATTACAGATGTAAACTTACAAATTATTGAAATACATTGTTTCTACCAATTAAAGATCATATAACATCAAGTGGGTTGAATGGTGAAGTATTTTATATATATTGTTTTAATCACCGGATTGAATAGTGAAGTAAAGTTTATATTGTTTTGATCACTGGTTTAAAAACAATATGAACTTTACTTCACCATTCAATCCAATGATTAAAATATATATAAAATACTTCATCATTCAATCCATTGATCAAAACAATATGAACTTTACTTCACCATTCAATCCGGTGATCAAAACAATATATAAAATACTTCACCATCCAATACACTGATCAAAACAACAAAACAAATGGTGAAGTAAAGTTCATATTGTTTCAATCAATGTATTGGATGGTGATGTAACGTTAATATTGGTTTGATCACTGGTTTGAATGGTGAAGTGACGTTCACATTGTTTCGATCAGTGTATTGGATGGTGATGTAACGTTAATATTGGTTTGATCAATGTATTGGATGGTGATGTAACGTTAATATTGTTTTGATCACTGGTTTGAATGGTGAAGTGACGTTCACAATGTTTTGATCACTGGTTTGAATGGTGAAGTGACGTTCACATTATATGGTGTTTTGAGATGTTCTTTACACACACTGTAATCCTGTATTTATAGAAGAATTTGAACAATATGTAGTATCGATGTTACTAGTTTATTTTCTTGAATTATTCAGCCTACAAACTGTTTAAAATATCAAAAAATAAAGTGAAGGCCAGTCCAGATTGGACATCACATTTATTTTTTAACGTTAATATGGTTTTAATCACAACGAATCTTAAGTATTTGTTTTATAGATAATTTATTATAATTGATGTAAAATTGTAAGCACGAAAGCAAACTGCCGTATACAATATCCTCAAGGCAGCATCTTACTACATAATATAATATACTCTCGACAGCATGATATTATAGTTTGGTTGCTGTTAAGCGCAAAACTACACAACGGGCTATCTGTGTTCTGCACACCGCGTGTATTTAAACCCGATTTTAAGCGTCGTGAGCCCACAGACTTGCCACTGGAGGGCGGCGTTATAGTAACACAAGTTAAGTATTTCTAGAATAGCTTCATGACATCGTCTTAGTATTATAGATTAAGTTCTTGGTCAAATAGTCTCACAGTGCTTTATATAATTACATATGCTAAGTTCTTGGTAGCATATACTCTCGACAGCATTACAGTTACACAATTTAAGTTCTTGGTAGCATATACTCTCGACAGCATTACAGTTACACAATTTAAGTTCTTGGTCAAATAGTCTCACAGTGCATTATATAATTACGTATGCTAAGTAGTTTGTAGCATATACTCTCGACAGCATTACAGTTACACAATTTAAGTTCTTGGTAGCATATACTCTCGACAGCATTACAGTTACACAATTTAAGTTCTTGGTAGCATATACTTTCGACAGCATTACAGTTACACAATTTAAGTTCTTGGTCAAATAGTCTCACAGTGCATTATATAATTACATATGCTAAGTACTTTGTAGCATATACTCTCGACAGCATTACAGTTACATAATTTAAGTTCTTGGTAGCATATACTCTCCACAGCATTATAGTTACACAATTTAAGTTCTTGGTAGCATATACTCTCGCCAGCATTACAGTTACACAATTTAAGTTCTTGGTAGCATATACTCTCGACAGCATTACAGTTACACAATTTAAGTTTTTGGTAGCATATACTCTCGACAGCATTACAGTTACATAATTTAAGTTCTTGGTAGCATATACTCTCGACAGCATTACAGTTACACAATTTAAGTTCTTGGTAGCATATACTCTCCACAGCATTACAGTTACACAATTTAAGTTCTTGGTAGTATATACTCTCGACAGCATTACAATTACACAATTTAAGTTCTTGGTAGTATATACTTTCGACAGCATTACAGTTACATAATTTAAGTTCTTGGTAGTATATACTCTCGACAGCATTACAGTTACACAATTTAAGTTCTTGGTAGCATATACTCTCTACAGCATTACAGTTACACAATTTAAGTTCTTGGTAGTATATACTCTCCACAGCATTACAGTTATACAGTTTAAGTTCTTGGTAGCATATACTCTCGACAGCATTACAGTTACAAAAGCCAAGTTCTTGGTAAAATATTCTCTTGACAGGATTATACAAGTTAGCCTTGCTAGAATGTTCTTATTTCAACACTTTAGTTACACAAGTTAAACCCTTGCTAGAATGTTCTTATTTCAGCACTTTACCTACACAAGTTAAACCCTTGCTAGAATGTTCTTATTTCAGCACTTTAATTACACGAGTTAACCCCTTGCTAGAATGTTCTTTCAAAGGTGTATCAAATAACTTACTTTTTGCATATATATATATATATATTTATATTTGCCATAATGATAGGTGATATACATAGTATTTTGGCACATTGTTATGTTGTCGCATGTGTCTCTGAGGTTTGAAGCAGTTTAACACATGATGACAGTGTGATACTTCTTCGATGTTTTAAAACTATATTTTAGTGTTAATAGCTTCATTGCATCTCACGGGATTCTCAACATAAAAATTTATTCTTTGTATTATGGCTCAGATCTTCAATATATTGCAAGCATACTTGTTGGATTTTTGCACGTATTTCCAGCCAATAATAATTCATTCTCGAAGTTACTGACTGATGAAGTTAAATTTTTTCACTTTATTGTTATGTGCTTAGAGAAATGATTTTTTGTTTTGTTTTATGATATCAACTGCTAAATTTTGATTCACTTAGAAAGCAGTGTTAAATGGGCTATTTGTGCTGTGCTCGCCAAGGGTATCGAAACGTTATGAACCTTCAGACTTACTGATGAGTCACTGAGGGGATACAGTGTTAAATGGGCTATTTGTGCTGTGCTCGCCAAGGGTATCGAAACGTTATGAACCTTCAGACTTACTGATGAGTCACTGAGGGGATACAGTGTTAAATGGGCTATCTGTGTTGTGCTCACCAAGGGTATCGAAACGTTATGAACCTTCAGACTTACTGATGAGTCACTGAGGGGATACAGTGTTAAATGGGCTATCTGTGCTATGCTCACCAATGGTATCGAAACGTTATGAACCTTCAGACTTACTGATGAGTCACTGAGGGGATACAGTGTTAAATGGGCTATCTGTGTTGTGCTCACCAAGGGTATCGAAACGTTATGAACCTTCAGACTTACTGATGAGTCACTGAGGGGATACAGTGTTAAAAATGGCCAGGGTTTGAACCAAGTATATGGTTCACGGGCTTTGTAAATTCTGTTATAAACTCATGTCCTGCTTGTGAACTTTGAAACAACTTGTCAGGAAAATAGTTAAAAGCTAGTTTTGGCTCAGTCGCACGTTTTGGTTGCAATATAATTTCAATGCATCCGTTGGCTAACATGGTTTTTTGCATTGCGGATAAAAGCTATGCTATATTTGTGGAGCGGTATAATTTCACTGACTAATCATTCTATACCAAAAATAAAATAAAATGATAAAAGTAATTTCAGCCCGCTGCCATAATATCAAACTTATAATACGTTATAATGTTTTGTTTTTGAATTTCGCGCAAAGCTACACGAGGGCTATCTGCGCTAGCCGTCCCTAATTTAGCAGTGTAAGACTAGAGTCATCACCACCCACCGCCAACTCTTGGGCTACTCTTTTACCAACGGATAGTGGGATTGACCGTCACAATATAACGCCCCCACGGCTGAAAGAGCGAGCATGTTTGGTGTAACGGGGATTCGAACCCGTGACCCGCAGACTGCAAGTCGAGCGCCCTAACCACCTGGCCATGCCGGGCCCCCGTTATAATGTATAATTTGATATGAATTTTGATTTTAACTGTAACAATACAAACATCAGTTGTTGCGTTACTGGCTTATTATTTGCAACTGAATTTAAGAATCGATAGTATCAAATATAGGGGGCGTGAAAGAAACAGCGTTAGAAACGTTTTTCTACTAAATTCTTAAGCCAATACCTAAAATGAAGCCCGAGTTTATCGCGCGCATGTCACTATACCTCCAAACTCTATAGTCTGCTTGTGTGACTGTACCCGTATAAGAAGGGGTTGTTTTGCACGCGTATTTCGCACTATTGTTTTCAGCGGACCTTTAACAATCCAGGCAAAATTCCAGAAGTGAAAGTGTAGGTAAGTTCAAGACCGTTTGCTGCCAGAAAAACAACAACAAACGGATTAAAACAAAAAGTACCATTCTTGTTGCTGTTCATTGAAGCTCAACATCGCTTCTAAGCCTTCGATTAAACAGACGTTTGTGTTTCTCAGAAAATGCTTTCCGTCTCTCAGATTGAGTACATCATGGAAAAAAATATAACGACAGAACATCGAACAAAGTATTGCCCCCCAGTGACACAGCGGTATGTCTGCGGACTTACAACGCTAGAAACGGTGGTGGGCAGAGCACAGATAGCCCATTGCATAGCTTTGTGCATAACTACAAACAAAGTATTTAGTGAAACGAAACAGATTCCCCGACAAGTGATGCATTTTTCAGCCGTAAGTTAGTTGTCTGGGAGACTGGTTTTATTCAGACGTTTATATGTAACACTTGTGTTTATTTGATATTTGTCCTTGATTATAATATGTAATAACCAATGCAGACGCTCTTGTCGATCGTGACTTTTTACTACCCATTAAATATCGTTCTCTCTTTGGATATCTTATTGGAGACTAATATCAGTTGATAACAGCACTCATTATCAGTAACTCAGCAATATTATCTGTCAGTTATCTGTACTCTGGAAATATTTATTTGAATAATAGTTTACAGATATCACACGATTCCTTAGGTTGAATTATGGCCAAGTGACATTAAATCATGTGTGTTAGTGAAAT